ATTAAGTTATATCAACTTGCTTTTCCTCCATGTACATTCTGTTAAAAAAAGCCTTACGGTCATGGCAGATCTTTACTAATGCTTGAAAGTGGCCTGACAGAAGCATTTTTAGTCATTTTAATGGCTTTGTAGATAAAATGGAACCTTTAGTGTTTCAAAAACGCCAACAGTGTTTATTTGTTGCTCATAAGTAATTCAGGGACCCAACAATATTCAACGAAACTTCTTCATTTTTAACAGATTTCTTAATGAGCATCATTTTACAGAAAACCACCAACAAATAAATATATGAAAACAATTGCTTTTGACATCACAATGGTTAAACACATTAAATAATTCATTAAATTGTGCTTTACATCAATGAAAATCCCTAGGTCTACAAACTATCTTATAAATAGGAATAAAAGTAGATATGGTTACTCACAATACAATCTCTTAGTAGCAGAGCTCACACACATTATTGCACATAAAAAGAAGGAAAATTCCTAAAGAATAAAGTGATTTACAGCCTGTTAATTTACTCTTTCATCTTAAATATGGCAACTGATGGGAACCCTTGATTTTTTTTTCCCCACTTCCAACATTTATTTGAAATCACAAAGCTAGTGATATGGCCAAGAAGAAACCCAAGGACACCGTAGGTTACTGAACACATTCCCCTCCACAAAATATTAACAAAGAAAGTATTACCAAAACCAAACTGAAAGAAGTGTTTCAGTGCAAACTGGGTACCTTTTCCGAGTATGCTTTTGCCACATGTAGGGAGGCTACAGCAAACTGCTCCAGCAAAATGATTTTAATTGCGATTGTTCGTGTCCAGGGTAGTCTCCACCAACCTGGAAAGAAGACATTCCTTATCCCAGACCTAAAAAGAATAATTCCACACATATCAGGGGAACAGCAATGGAGAGGAAAAGTTTTAATAACACCAGTGCTCCCAACTGATACAAGACTGCAGGTGGGAAAGAAGAACCCACTAGTGCAGAAGGAAACATGTCAAGAAGAAGGCCAACTTGAACAATCCAGTTTCTGAATCATCTGATGCAAAGGTGATGTGCCCTGCCATTTGGTTTGGCTGAACGAATATGGTGCAGGTAGTTTGACTCTGGACCTGACTTCCATCACTCTTTTTTTTTTGTTCTGTACTTGTGTTTTTAGTGAACTGCAAATAACTACCACATACCAGGTCAAAGCTCTGGCAAGGCTGTCGCAGCCTCATCGTTAACACAACTGCAATGAAGAACACCCAGTATCAGAAACTGTTCTTTTCTTTCCCTGTGGTAATAAAGATTTTTTATTCTTTGCACTGATGAGTGGGGATGAGAGGACAAATTTTCATTTCTTAATAAAGTATGGCCCATAGGCAACAGGCTGCTTTCTTGGACTAGACATCGAATTACCAGGAACAAGTTTTAACAACACAGCATGTTCGTCTGCTCCAAGCCTACAGTGAATTATAACTGGAAGAGGCAGCCAATGCTGAGGATGTGATGAGAGAGATTAGCAAGTACATCTCCATTACAAAAGAATGAGATTTTCTTTTCAGCACCACAGTAGCAGAAGCCAAATTGCCTTGTTTAAGCCACAAAATAATGGCAGGAAGATGGACAGAAATCCTATAGCCTCGTTGCTTACGAAGGTTTCAAAAGGAACACACTGCGCTCTGATCCTACATGAGACAGTGTAATTACAGCGACGTCCTTGCTGTCAGAGCAATGAAAACCTGGAATAACAGAGATACGAACCAAGGCTTTTATTTTGCTTTTGCGTGACGCTATTCCAGGCGCAGCGCCCAAGAGGAAAAAAGCTGCAAGCCTGTGTCTTAGAAGTCAGCCTGAAAGTATTTCCAAACTTCTTTATTTTTCACGTGCCAGGAAATTCTGCTGAGAAAAACTGTTGCTGGCGCAGCGTGTTTGCTGGATTTACTACTGAAGCTGGAGAAGGAGGTTCTGGGTCCTTCAAGTCCCAGGGGGTCTGGGCAAGATCTCAGCTGCAGGCTGTCCACCCCCTTCAACTACTCGTGTGCAACCAGGGCTCTCAGCTACACTGGCTCCAGGGAAAAAATACCAACAAACCAACTTCAGTGTTAACTAAATCCCAAGCGTTAAGGCAAATCCCGTTAACTCAGATGCTACAGCACATTAGCAGCTCTTCAGGATCCTAATCTTGTCTCCTGGGAAATGACTGACTGAAAAGGTTAGGCATCGAATTAAGGTATTGCCAAACTATTAAAACTAAAGTAAACCGCCCAAAGACTGCTTCGATTTTCCTCATTAGGCTGTGTTTTGTGTCAGGCAGAAGGAATAGTCTGGAGAAGGGTTGGTGTGCTTAGACAGCTGAAACGGATACTTACAGTCACTGGTGAGGCTGCAGGGAACAATTTCTGAGCTCTCTCTCCTCTCCCCTGCGAAGATAACACTGCACTTTCTAAGTGAAAAACAAGGGCCCCCCCCTCCATATTGCTGTGAGTGGCGTGGAGAGGTGGCCTGCTGGGGAAAGAGGCAGGGATGCAAGGAAGGGGAGCCTGGTTTTGTGCTTAGGAGGAAGACGATGGGAAGCTTTATCACAAAAGACAGTGTTGGAGTGGTTCTACACCCTCCTTGACGTGAATTTGGCCTTGCATCTTTCCTCCCACGTGCCTGGCTTCACTCCCCCCGAAGTCCTGCCCCCCTGCTAACCCTGCCTCTCTGTCTGGGAACAGGGAGATGCAACATCTCCCCATCATCCCTGCATTGTCCCATTGTCCCTGCTCCTTCCCTCTGCATGGCCAGGGCCAGCCCAGCCTGAAGTCCCGGTGCCAGCGGGTAAGATGGCAGCTCCCTGCAAATTACCTGCGCTGCGTTAAAGGTGCGGTAATACCGGTCAGGCTTAGCTCTTCACGGCCTCACTGTCCTGCAGCCACCACACAGGGTGGGCTTCAGTCCCAGGCTGTAATCATTCCAATTTAAATCTCTGAGGACAAGTGTCCACATGCGTGTGAGGTGTCTGAGCGATGGGGATCCAAGCGGTACCATGGGGAAAATGTGGAGAGCTCCTCACTCTTCTCAGGCATGAGAACAGTGGTCTGCAGTCCCGCACTTCCCTTCTGAACATGGAGCTGGGCAGAGACGCACATGATCCACCAGTGGAACAGGTATTAGGGATCAAAAACTACCCCTACTCACCCCAGAAGTAGCACACCGACAATCAGGCGTAAAGCAGCATATTGCTAATAAACTACATTGATAATGAGGCATTGTCCCAGTAGCCCTCCTCACTTCCTAATAGCCATTATGATATTCCATGTTTAACGTGTTGTTGTATGCATTAACCCTCAACAGGATCGTTAGAACATATTTTTGATACTGTGCATAGATAAGTAGCAATAGCATTGTCGGAAGAAAAGATGACACAGCATGCACTAAAGAAAAAAAGACCTGGAAATGAAGGGACAAATTTTCAAATTCAGCCTCACTTTTCTGTAACGCATTATTGTTTTACTGACTGGATAAAAACCTGGAATTTTGAAAACAAATGAGAAATGTGCATCCACATCAGGTACTCCAGTATCTCTAATTAGCAACTCTGTAAGGTAAAAGCCATTCATGCATGCAATAATATACTTTCAGCATCTCGATTTAGCAGCCACGTTGAGGCACTTAGAGAAACTTCCTCCTAATGCTTTACATTTACGCTAGAAGAAGAAGGAAAAAAAAAACTCTCTCAGAAGTTCTACGGTGCACAGGACCCTCTTTTTAAAATTTCACTATTACGAATGGAACAACGTAAGATTTTGGAATAACCAGATGCAGTTTAGCCACAAGAAAGTAACATGTGGAGGAAGAACCCATTGAATCTTTTTCTAGACAAGGAATAAAAACAGATACAGATCTCTCATCATGAAAACAATATGTTTACAAAGAATCTTCATACAGAGTAATAAATATCAAGACTTTCCACATATCCATTATGTATCCTACAAAAATGAAAGCTGATTTTTTTTCTAGCCACTACCGTAGTTGGAGAGAAAACCAATTTAAATTGTATTCACTTGGCATCAAAGTATTTTAACAGACAATATCATAAACCCGCCTACCTTCACAGACAATATATCTCCAGGCTTTTATAGCAAATCGGGAAAATATCACACTGATATTTAAGCTTTTCCTGCTCTCTTTCCTCTTCTCTGTAGTTTGCTTGGCCCCTCGTCACCTTTTGTCAACGAGAAGGCTGATTTCATTGCCTCCAGCCAGATAATCTCCACGTGTGCCCACGTCGTGCGACGTGGACTTAATTTCTCAAGGCTTTCCCTTTGCCACACGCACTCAGAAAGATGGCTGCTAACCTGGCTGGGTTCGGTACTCTCAACACCTGTGGAGAAATAAGCTAACCCCTCCATCACTTCACATAAACCATCTGTGATTGCTGCCTAACAGAACAAGCGACGTCCTACTGCCACATTTCCTTGGTCTTTTTTAATCACCTCAGAAGGTTTTTTTTCCCTTAATCAAAACACAGCATGTAGAAGTTTGGAAGTTTTAAGGGCAATGCGCTTTCCTCCGTTTCATTCGCTAGAAAGCTACGTGCTACAGTTGCCAAGGACAGTATGAAATAAACCAGCTTTCACGTCACAGAGGAACCAAACCAGGGCATTTTTTCCCCATTTTTCATTCATCTCTGTACAAGTTTTTGTAGCTCAGACTGTACAGGGTACATCTGTTAACGCGAAGGATACAGCTTTCTCTTCAACCCATACTCATAGCTTAGGGCTTGGAAAGAAGTCTTTCTGGGCAGGAATCTATTCTACTGCCATTTAATAACACTGATCAATGCCTATTGAGAAAAAAAATTACATTCCTTTGGCAGAAACAAACAAACAAACAAAAACTGAGACAAGGGGGGTGCATTTTTCAGACGTGGTCTCATTTACCAAAGTGGTAGGTCTTCCTTGACTAATTCCCAGGTAGCCAAGTTGCACAAACTCTATGATCCTCTCATCGGTTAGTCAAGATAGCAGAGCATCACCACCTTGCGACCTGACTGTTATAATCTTCAGTAACGGCTTCTTCTGCTGCTTCTTCCCTCAGCCACTGGTGAGCTTTCTGCTCCCGCAGCAGCCGCCGCTCCTCTCGCCTCTTTAGCCGGTTCTTCTGATGCTCCTCTTGCTTGGAGTACTGGAAGCGCTGCAGGAACAGGTCCTTTGCGTATTCGTACAGCTGCACGTCCAAGAAATTCAGCTCTTCTATCCGCTGCCGCACATCCTCACCCAGGTCCACGTTGGAGGCCCGCGTAACGTTGAATTGGGTGAATGGGGAAATGAATTTCAGGTTGAATGTCCTCTCAAAGAGATACTGTGTTTTCCTCTGAAATTCCGTGAGCCCGAAGAAGGCCATATTTTTCAGATTGTTCTTGGCGCTTTGGAGAAGAATCATATTTCTTTCACTCTCATTCATAAAAGTCAAGTTGTAGCACCCTACCAGGCTGAGGTCTGCCAGCATGCGCACCTGGCGGTTGTTGGCCAAGTTGTAGCTACAATCCATGAATTCCTGTAAACTGACTCCAGACCAGTCATCTCCTTCGTAACAGGTAGGCAGCTCGTCTGGTGTTGGGCTTCTTCCATCGCACATGTGAAGGGAAGTTTTCCACGTCGCACCCCTCTGGACATGCTTCCATTCACTCAAGTACCGTGACACCGGATCCCTCAGCATCGTGATGTAATAGAAGTTCCTGAAACAGAACATTAAACACAGTTTTAAGACTCAGTGGATTTCACCTTTTTATTCTCCAATAAAACGATTACCAGCCACCGCCACCACCCCCTTCACTTTTTCCCGCGTAATGTAGGCACTTCAAGTGACTTCTTCTGAGACAGTAAAAAAGCTTAAAGCTTCATAACTGCTGTGAATAAAATACAAGGAAAATTGGGAGAAAGAGAGAGAGATGAAAGGAGATAAGTAGTTATCAGAGAAACAGAATTACTTTGACCTATCGACTTTTCAGTGGTAGTTACTTTATGTAGAAGCCAATTAACTGGAGTCTACTCCCCTCTACTTTGAAATGCTAACCCTCAGCAATATCAGAAACAGTGGGAAAAGAGATCTATATAATCTTGCCACTTCTCTTCTGGACAGAGACATGCACGTCTCACAAGAGGATAATCCATACAGTGCTTGTTCAGAATATAAGAGAAACAGCAGGGGCTGCTGCAAGCACTAAAAATAACACCATGTGTAAGACTGACATGAGACACCTACTTAAGAAGAACCCTATTATTAAATGGGTTGGAGTGAAGATAATGACAGACCCCAAATCTGTTCATATGACTTAATTTTAGGCAAGTGCTTGATTGAAATTAGTTACAATAGTGTAGTAAAAAAGCATCTGTTGATATAAAGATTACCATTATTCAACCTCACCTGTCAAGAATACAAAAGAGACACCAAGAAATATTGATTTGAAGTATAGCAAATAACTGCAGAACTCACATAGTCAGTTCATCTTTTAGCTATTGAATTCAGTTTGTACATCTATTTATGGCAATCTGAAGTGGACTGCAATTGAGTGTGCTTCAAGCAGGTTTTCACAGATTGAGGTTTTTTACTGAGAAACATTTTATTCAATAACAACTCACCTGAATTACAGGGAGATATCATAACGACAAAGCAAACCCAAAATACTTAGGATTTCTCTCAGCTAGAATAACCAGCAGAAGATTCATGACTAAAATTAACACACGCTCTGGTACAAAAATAGGCTTGTGAGTTTGCATGACTCATCTGACTGCAAACAATACATTAATAAATCATGAGCTCTAAGATTTCTTAAGAAAAGTCTGATCTAAGTACTTTTTCTTGAGCCTAGAGAAAGATGAATAATGTAAGCAGAAGGCAATCTTGCTGCAGACAAGTTGCTCTGTAAACAAATCAGTGCTTTGTGAGGGCCATCTCATACAGAAGCTAACTCTAGTTAAATGAAAAAATCCCCAAATTGTTAACAATCTTCAGCACAGTTACCTTTCTTTTTCAGATATCACTCATTTTCTGCCACTAAAGATTCCCCATAGCTTCTCCATAAACCTCAGATTGTTCGTAAAGCCAGATTATTTCCCCACGTATTCCTAAAAAGGCAGATATCTTCCCCAGTGCAAACAAAGCAAAAGGAAACAGGGCTGAATGCTTTGTCCTTATTCATTCTGAGTTCTCCACCTACAGGATCTATATGGTATTTTCTTGAATAAGGTTACGAGGCCAAACTATGGACTATGTTCTGCTGCAGGGTCATTTCTTGAACTACTATTTAATGGAAACAAATGTCTCATAGATTATTTCACAGCAGAAGGGTTACAGGCGGAAGGATATAAACTAGGGTGTGCCATGGATGTATTTTCCTTATCACTCGCACTGGAAGCTGTGATTTGTGTTAGCATCGGGTGATACTCTAAAGGATGATATTTCAAAAATAATTTGGGGCTTGGGTTTTCTGGCTGCCGCTCACACATGATCAAACTGCACTTCAGCTATTTTGATCCACTTCAGTTACTTACACAGCCAGCATCAACAGCGAACCCAGGGATCACACAACCATCAACAGACAGATATTTCTAAAATTCTTCCAATACTCCTGCAGAGCAGGAAGGACTAGAAATCCTGCTGCGTGCTCTGCAGTATAGCTCCACTGTGAAAAGCACTGTCTTTAAGCACAGCTTTCCCTTCTCAGATTGGATGCTCAGCTCGTCTTGGCTCTACCTTGCCTGTGTGAGAGCACATTAAGAATTTCTTTCCAGGTAACAAGACAAAAAGCGGACACAGTACACTAGTGTTGTGTAGATAAAGCAGCCCAACCCTCTGTCACCCATCAGCTCTGAGCATTAAGACACTGCTGTTGCAACATCCAGCAGGCGCTGACAGGGTTGTGACAGAAAATGACTGAAGCTCCAAGGGAGCCGAAATGAAAAAAAGTGGACAAAGATTCTGAAGCAGTTGTCAACATCTATATCGAGAAAGACGTGGTGTTGGCTTAGTCCTTGTATTGCTGCCCCTCCCCTCTGTGGATAATTTTGGATATCGATATGTGGAAACAGATGGATTTAAAAGTTGCTCTTGCAATTATTTATACCTCTAATAATAGTTCTGCCTTTCCTCACCCATCTCCAGCAGTCCCAGCCAGGCATGACTCAGAGCAACAACAATTAACAAAAATACCTCCTTTGCATCAATCATTTCCATTTCAACCCTGGATATGTAAATGCGCTTCATGTGCAATAAACAGGAGTACGAAGCAAATGCAGGGAAATGAGAACAGCGCGTCTTTGTATAACACCCGCAGCTTCCCTTATGCAGAACGGGCAAGAAACTTTCGCCAGTCTGTTGCTGCCGCTCCTCCTTGTGACTACCTGATTTCTGCATCTCTTTTTCACCCTCCTGATTGATTTGCGTCTAGTCTGTGCATCTTTCAGAGCATCACCTTCTTGTGTTATCAACTGATTAACTTCATCTAGTAGTCAACCTTCAACAGCAGCCTGATACCTGTTTAGTTTCCGAGGCACTAATAACAAAGAGTGCAGCCATCCCTGCTGCAATCACAAGTCACAACCCTCTGTCTTTCAACCTTTCAACCAATCTGAGGTTGGAAGACCAAGATTTCTTCCACCTGATCCTGGGTGCTGTCTGGATGATCCAGCTACAATGCTACAGAGAGGACTGGGGGATGCTGCACAGCGGTCATGGCACAAAACTTTTTCAGGGAAAAGGATGTCGTGTCTCTAGAATAACGATATAAGCAAAATATAGATCATGCACAGTTGTTTCAGTTGGAGAATTATAAAAATTATCTTAGGAAATTGTTTTCAAATGTTGGAATCCATTTATGGATTAAATGTAGCAGTACTTCAGAGCTCTCAGTGCCTAATACACAGTGCTCAGTCACACTGGGAATGGCTGAGGAGTCAGCTCGTAATAAAGACAAGAAGCAGTTCATAAAACCAGGAAACCGAGAATGGCCTTCCATCTCCCTTTTCCTCATTCTTCAGAAAAAGAGCAGCCAGTCAGCTATATACTGAACATGCCTGGGCCACTCTGAATAAAGATGTGCACTTGTTCTCGTCAGTGTAAACGACCCCCTTGGGTCGCTCGTGCTCCTGCTTATGCAGCTATGTTAAACTCCACAGCTACCCACCGCGGGAAATACTCAGCACAGAATTAAGTAATAACTTCTGTTATCCTGTTTGACAAAGCAAACTCACCACAGACTTATTGGCTTCATTTCAACAGACTCCCACCATTGATTACTCAAACTGCTGTCACAGACAGCCTCCGTGCTGAAAGGCTAGCCAAGCAGAATACGCTGGCATGCCAATGAGAAGATGTTTTACACAAAACATTCCAAATTAATTAAAACCCATGCAAATTATATTGATATCAGCCTGTGCATGTATGTGTGTGTGTGTGTAAAAGCTTACATGGGAAACTGGCCATAAGTTGTAGTTGTCGATGAAAGAAAAAACATAGTAAATGCATAGTGTGTATTTGCCAATATATCTTGTGACTGTCCATAAAAACACTTGGATGTGTACGAACACATTAGATTACATTTCAAACAACACCAGCCCACTAGTCATGACAGCAGCTCCTCCTGAAGGGGAAACTTCATACAACTTGCCCAGATTAAACAATCTCCTTTTGAGCATAATGTGCCAAAATTAATGGTTTACTGAAGTCACCACTATGGTACGGTTGACTCTTTAGACAGATGCTAAGTACCATGACGGTCCTGGCAAGGGTCTGATGATCCAAGCAAAGCCCCAAACAAGCCATAATGTGAAGTGTGGGCTGCATGCTAGCGTTTACACTAGATTTTAAAAGCCCTTGGGAATTCATAAGGCTTTAGCCCCACCAGCATGAAATCCACTCTCTTCATTAGCACAAGGCAAAAACCCCCATTAATTAATAGAACAGCTGAACTAAGCTTCTAGTTATAACCTAAGAACATCTATTTCTTTCACATTATAAGGTATTCTAATATAAACACCCTAATCTTACATTAATCCTTCAATAGCATTGCTCTGGTTTAGAAATTAATTTCAGAGAGGCAGACTGATGTCAGCAGAGGTGATCCCAAACCAGGGCATTTTGCCTCTTCTATCACCATGGAACAGACATCCCAGCTGAGGGAGATTTACTAAATATGGGAAGGATCACTGCACATGGAGAACAAAACCATCCTGTAGAGCCTCCTGGGAAAGAAGGGTGAATGGCACCTTCTCTGTCGCTCCAGCTCTCGTGCCGAGCAGCCAGCACAAGGAGTGATCACGCAGCACTCTCGGAGGCTCAGAACTCTGGGAAAACACAAGCTATTCCCTCTTCTTTCAAAGAGTGAGGCAGGACCTTACGTGCAGAGAGTGATGAGCTTCATAAAGGACAACAGCATACTCACAGCAGCTGATGCAGAGATGGAAGAATATCTGAGGTGGAAAAAAAGAGGCACTGGAGAATATTTTGGAAGACACTAACAGACAGAAAAAAGAAGAACCAAAACGACTGAAAAACCCAGGTGAATCATAAAACCGTCCACTTTCTAGTTCTTCCTGGTAGCATGGAAAATAAAAGCCCTGGTCAAGTTTATGACCCAAGATGAGACAAAGAGTTAGGATCTTTAATCCTGGAAGTGAGTGCACTCCTACGGAAAGGTCTGAAATACCCAGCAAAAGCCAGCCTGGCTTCCGCTAACAA